CCCGTGCCTCACGTCTCCGGCTGTACAGAGATTCCTGTCACAGCACTTTCCCGGGGAAACGGGGCGACCGGGAAAGTCAGGCAGGGCGGCACCACATCGTGCCTGACGAGAGGTGCCTGGGGGAGCCGGGCGGGTGTCAGTCTAACGGGGCGGCGGGGTGGTTACCGGGGCCGAGGGAGCGCGGTAGCAGCCCGGCGTGCTGCTGGCCCCCGTGGCGTTGGTGGGACCGCAGGTGATGCTGCGGTGGGGTCCTCCCTTGCGTGACAACCCAGCGTGCACCAGCGGACGTCGTCTGCTGAGAGAGTGTGATGAAGTTATCATAAACGCAGAAGGTGGCGTTAAGTTTTTGATATTTCATGTTGAACTTCGTCAGCAGAAGAAGTTGGGGAGAGGAGTGTCAGATTGTCTTGCTTTTGTAGGTCAAAACCATGTTTTTCAGAGATCTAGGATTCCTGATAATTTAAATTTTAGGGGTTTTACTATCTTTAGGCTATTATACCGTTCTTTTGCTTTATAAGGACATAAAGCAAGACAGGATTCTCTCTTATCTGAAGACATTGTTATGTATCTCTGAACCACAAGGTTTGTTGTGCTGTGAGAGAAGGGCATCAGATGAGTTTGACCCAATTTGTTCTCAGCTTGCCTGTTTTGTCTCATACCAATCTTTTACCCTCAATGCACTTAACATGCTTTTTTGGTATCTTTCTTGGAGTTGAAATTAGTCTAATGGCTTTCATATTTGATAGTTTTGATAGGAATCCATGATGAATCTGAGGTGAACAACTGTCTTGTTAACTAAGTTCATGTTTACTGTTGCTAACCTTTTATTTTTCTTGCTTTTATGGTTTTGTCTCTACTGTTAACTTAATAATGTCCACAATTTTTTTTTCTTTCAGGAAAGTGCTAAAAGAATTAGATTACTGAATTCATCATCAAAAGATAATATGACTGCTTTCTATGGAATAAATCAGTTTTCTCACCTGTTTCCTGAAGAGTTCAAAGGTATATATGCTGGCTGCTGCTAGTGCCTTTTCTGTTATTTTCTTTATTCTTTCCCAGAACCTTGTATCTTTCACGTTTACAGATTCTTCCAGTGCTGATAGTCAGCTAGTTTACAATGTCTGGTACCAAACTGTAAGTACTTCTGAAGGATACAACAATCCTCTTCATGTTTCTCTAGTCTTGCAAGGTTGAATTGCCCAGAGCCTGAATTTGATTTAGTATACAGACCCTTCTTTCCTTCTTTCTTCTCTTCTCACTGGGCCTTAAAGCCTTCTTCAGTTCCTATTCCCTATCCCAAGACAAAATTGACTACTATCCAAACAGTGCTTGGGAGAGGGCAAGGCTGTACAATGCTAGCTATGACTTTCAGGAGCGATATGACATCCTTAGTTTTTTCTATTAAGAAAATTTGTCTGATACCTAACCTAATCTTCCCTTCTTGGTGTTCAAGTCTGCTTTTATGTATTCTATTCATCGTGGGATTTCACACCTTTTTTAATTTTAAATAATTAAGCAAGGTTTTTTTAGTGAAAAACTAGCAATTTGCATATGTTTCAGAATCTTTACATTATTCTCCTCTTATTTTTCCTCTTTTACCTGACTAAAATAAAGTAATATTTTTTCCAATGAGTAAAATGTTGTGAAAATTTTCAAACAAAACTTGTTTTATGGAGTGGTTGTTGATCGGCTTTAGTAAATCTTCACACTTTGTACCCACATTCCCTACATGGAATATTTCTGTTCTTTCCAGAACTGTAGGAATATTTACATTCGTTCTGGAGTATAATGATTATTTTAAAATACATGAATTTTCTATGGATTTGAGAATGAGATGTAATCTCATGATTGTAACTACAGATCAAAGTTATCTCTATGGCTTCTAGTAAAACAGTTGTTTGTGTGTTTTTTTTAAGTTAGTACATTTATAGATGTTTGTATTCTGTGTTTAGCTATTTACTTAAGAAGCATACCTCACAAACTTCCCAGATACATAAAAGTGCCAAACGGAGAGGAGAAACCTTTGCCGAAGAAGTTTGACTGGAGGGACAAGAAAGTCATTACAGAAGTGAGAAATCAGCAAACAGTAAGTCCTGGTGTTTTCCTTTCCTGGTTCTCAAACACTGCTCAGAGGCAGTTCCAGCAGGTAGGTCCTAGAGCACAGTGAAGGTTTTGTAAGGCATCAGCACTGCCTCCAAACTCCTTGCACAAGTATGGTTGGTTGAACACACACAAAGTCACGTAGCGTTTTATGCAAAGCGGGATTAGACTTAAAAGCATGAGATGCAAAAGTTGCGCGTTTAGAAATTGTGCAATTACAAGCTGTGCGTAATACATTTTTTTGATCTAGTTAACTAAATCTGCAAATATTTTGCACCATGTGTATTTTGCATTTTTCTGAAGAGACTGAGGTAAGTTCAGTACCTAACTTCACCCCCTCATTTCACCTGGATGGGTATAGATCCTCTGCTGTTGTTTTCTCTCATGATTGAATGCCCTTGGCTGGTCAACACCCGTATCTTTACCGTTGAACACCTCAGGGGATGCATTTATGATAGGAAGATAACCAGATCCTACATGATTACAGTTTATCCCAAAGTGGTTGTGGTCACCAGTAAGAAACAAACAAGCTGTTAAATCCCCAATGTCTTTCCTTTCTGTGCTTTACATAGTGTAACCTGGACCTTGCCTAGGAATACATTCTGCTTCCTATTTTAAATGCCACAGTTTAAAGAGCCTAGAACTGCAGTATAGATTCTGTTACTGTCTAAGAATTTTTCTACTCTTTAATTTCAGTTTACTGTTTCTTAAATTGTAATCTAATGTATTTCTATAAAATGCTTCAGACTGTAGAGTGTTGTAGACTGTCTCCTTAAGTGCATCCTTTTCAAAAACTTATTAACTAATGTAGTTAAAAAATAATTTCATCCTGAGCTCAAATCCTTCTTTAAGAAAGTAGATACCTCAGTAAAAAGCACCCTCAGACCTATCCTAAAGGGCAAAAATTAATCAGGAAGGAATCCTTAAAATAAGACAACCATAATGCAGGAATCTTTAAAATCAGACACCCATAATGCATTTCTAGCTTTCAGGGAGCACTACAGGTGAACAAAGCAGTTCAATATTTTAAATGGCTGATTAAATTTATTTATTACTGCCTTAAAAACGAAGTTCAAGGATGATGTAGTAAATGAAGAGCATTAGAACACCCTTTTGTCTCTTTTTTTTTTTCTTCATATTAGGCTTCAAAAATAAAGCTGACTTTTTCTTTCTCCCGTTTCCCTTCTCTTTGTACCAGTGTGGAGGCTGCTGGGCTTTCAGCGTTGTGGGTAGTATAGAGTCTGCCTATGCAATTAAAGGAAATAACCTGGAAGAACTCAGTGTACAGCAGATTATTGACTGTTCATACAATAATTATGGCTGCAGCGGGGGATCCACTGTTAGTGCTTTGAGCTGGCTGAACCAGGTTTGAAACTTCTCATAAATCTTGAACCCTTCCTTAGCTTTCATATGAACATTCTTTTTTACTGGGAAAAAGTGATGGGGAAGGTGGAGTGTACAGTTCATCTGGTTTTTTTTTAATGTATGTGTGTATATGTATGTATGTATGCATATACATGAGTGTGTATATGTGTATGCATATTTAGTTAGTCTGGAATCAACAGAGAGTTTGTTCAACGAGAATTTAAACTTGGTTGGAATTTATGGTCTATATATGTTCTTGTGAATGTAACAAATCAACCCACAGGGGTTGAAAATAGCATTCCTACAGTATTTCCACTGTATTCAATTGGAACTGCAGACATACAGTACCGGTGTATCCACGGGTATCCACCGGTTTATCCACTTGTCATTTTGTGGATTTGAGTGTCCAGTTTAGGCACCAGCATTTGGGGAAAAGGAAAGATGTTGAGATTTTCTGCTTTTGAATTTCTATGGTTTCTGTTGTGAACACTCTAAAATCATGCACAAGTCTGGAGAACCTCAGAACAGAATGTAAAAGAACAGAAGTGTAAAAGGTTGATGCAGTAGCTTTGCATCTGGACTTTGATCTGTGGCAACCGTTATAATACATTATATACTAGAGTGAGGATTTGATGCAAATAGCAGAATTGGACTTAATTTCAGTATTTTATGTAACTGTTCTTGGGATATTTGTGGTTCTTGAACTGTCCCAAGGAGAGGATAATTTTTTGTGTGGATGTCATTTGAAGAGAATGAATAGGCATTCATTAAATGAATGCATAGTCTCTGTGTTTGACATTAATGAGGTTGCTTACGATGCTAGTTTAAACCAGAGATACCTTTTAAATTTCGTTCATGATTGAAAGACTTCTGAATCCCTTCTGAAGCTTTCTCTGTGAACAAGGAAACTAGAGATAGTGAATACCTTATTTCCCAGTATGACATTCTTATTTCTAATCTCAGCAAGAACACATTGAATTTTGAGTGAGTTCTGTGGTCATTTTCAGTGTATTTTGACCTGCGTAGTGTTGAAGTCAAATGCATTAAATTCTCATTCATTTATCTTCTTGCAGACAAAAGTAAAACTCGTGAGAGATTCAGAATACACTTTTAAAGCTCAGACAGGACTATGCCATTATTTTGGACACTCAGATTTTGGAGTATCAATAACAGGATTTGCTGCATATGACTTCAGGTAGCTACTATTGATTCTTTTTATTTGCTGTACTTTTCCTTCTGTGTTCAGTAACTGTGGAGTAAGCTATAGCCAATAGTGCATTGACCAGCCAAAGGTTACGAGGTTCATATTGCATCAGTTCTGTAGCTATGTACTGGCTAAGAATTAATACATAACATTTTTGAGAGTTAAGGCTTGCCACAGTGAATCCACTCAACCCTGCCATCACTAAGCTTGTTCAAATTAGAAAGCTTAAGTCTGTGTCTTGAAATTAGGTCTTTTAAATTGGCTATATTTGAACTGGAACATTGAGTCAGTTACAGTTTTTAATAAGTGAACATTACACTGCTTAAGTATCAGAAACAGTAAATCCTACCAATAGTAATTGGAATTTGTTGAAAAATTTAGGAAGTAGTCGGTTACTTCATCCGTTTACATACCCACCCGCATCCTCCTCCAGCCCATGACTTAACAATGTTGTCATCTAAATTTTGTAAAGACAACTGGTAGCTTTTTAGGTTTCAGTGCCAAGAAAGTTTGTTTCTAGTTTTTATCAGTACAGTACAGCTGGATACTGAACTGACAAGAAATATAATTTTGACTAGAAATTGAATTACTGCCAGATATAAGTAACTAAAATCAATTATAGCTTTGCCAGTCTGTCTTTGCCAAATTTAGTTATTCCACACACCATGCAGTGATGAAAATTTCCTGTTCCAGTATATTGGATAAGTAAAACCCTGTGAGGATGCTAACGGTAGTGTCTGATAATGGTAATGCCCTGTGGTTTTATATGTTTGAGATACATATTTTAGTGTGTTACTATGTATGATACAAGAGGTACTTCTCTATGTTTGAAAAAATAATGGCAAATAATAATATAGACTAATGTTTTGTCCAAAGTCATTTTATAGTTGAAAAAGGTGATGTATAAAAGGTACATAGTGCTCCCCATTGCCCACTGACTTGACCCAAAAACCTGCTTCTTTTTAATAGCATCATGTCTTTGGATCTATACCTTTCTCATAGTCTCTGTGCCCTATATCTGTATTACTGTGTTGCAGTACATGAAATACATATTTATTGATGTATGTTATATGGTATGTAGAACTTAAAGGAAATGATTGAATTATTTGATTTTTAAATTGTACTTAACAAGTAGATTACCACCACTCAAATGGCTTTAGTGTGCTAACTTAAGTCACTCAGCATTATCACTCACGTCTTTCACAGTGGTCAGGAAGAAGAAATGATGAGGATGCTTGTTAACTGGGGCCCTTTGGCAGTAACAGTAGATGCAGTTAGCTGGCAGGATTATCTTGGTGGGATCATACAGTATCACTGCTCCAGTGGAAGAGCAAATCATGCTGTTCTCATCACTGGTTTTGACAGAACAGGTACGTTTCCATCAACTGAATATCAGCCCAGTAGGTTTTGTGGTTTTTCTCTTGCAACTTGCCTCCTGTGGGGCAGATAGGTGATTAAAATCCAGAACTGGGTGTTCTGTTGAGAGCTGTTTGGTTTGGTGTCACATCAGTTCTGGAACCACAGTCTGATCCCAGGAGAAATTCTCCTCTTGTCTGTGTTCCTTCAGTTCTGTGGGACTTCATGTCTTTATAAAGACACGAACACAGCTATGTATGTCTTTACGCTAGCAGAGGATATATCCAGTCTGTTCAGCACTGGACTATCAGCTCTATCCTCTAGGTGAACAGCAGTAGGTTTCACTATCCTGTATCATCAAACCATCATAAACTATGAGATACTAACACGGTAATTAACTCTGTAGAGCGTTAGAAGTTTTTTTATGCTTCCCACATATTATCTCTTGTTTCTGAAAATGTCTCTTCCAGGTAATATCCCGTACTGGATTGTACAGAACTCTTGGGGGCCTACATGGGGAATAGATGGCTATGTTCGTGTTAAGATAGGCGGCAATGTCTGTGGTAAGTTTGACAAAAAATAATTAAAGTGTTAAAGGCCACATGCTGGGATATGTTTCTCTGTGTAAGTAAAGCAGTATAATGGGATCCTCAGAGACGAAATAAAAATCAGTGCTATGTTTTAAAAGAGGTTAGATGAGTCCAGGTGGGAAAATAAATAAAGCAGTTGCTAGTGCAGTTGCTAGTTCAGCCAAGCCATATAGTTGACTGATTGAAAAACACCCTACAAAGGTAAAGCTATATAAGGCATAACAAATAAAATGCTACTGTACCTTACCATGAACAGGTAATGGCACTGTAAAGTATACAGCCATGTATCAGAGGTCTAGGTTAGTGCCATCGCTATACTCAGTGTAGGTAAAACAGCTGCTGGCCTTGTCTGGTGGATACAATTATCTCTGGGCTCAGTTTAACAAACAGATACGGAAAGTGGATCTGCCCATGCTTGGGGATTGTGTACCCTGCTTGTGGCTTTTCTGGTAGGATAGAGGTATATACTTTTAGCGCTAGTTCCATCTCCTGCCCTGTTACCTGCATGAGATTTTTCTTGGGTGTTTGAGGGGAGTTTTGTGGTGTTAAGTACCCAGTTGCTGGATATGGAGGTAAGGCAGGTGAAGCTCCTGTTTACCAGCAAAGATTGCTGAGCCACATTGCTGGGATTGGACTACTAGATAGTAGGTGTTGTGTGTCGATTGAATTTCTGTCTGTTAGATTAACACTGTAGGTCTTCTGTTGGCTTTCCCTTCCATGGATGTTTCACAGTTGCTCTCACAGCCATTGTAAAAGGTGTTAGATGATGTAAATGATGTGCAAATAAAATTAGATAATACTCAGTTTGGCTGCACTCCGTGAAGATCAGGACAACGTATCCAATCATAGATTTTCTATGTTGCTAAAACTTGTTCATATTGTTGTTGTATAAAAAAACCTATTTGGAAAGAGTTGTTTAGAAATAGTGAGAATTAAAGCAAGTCTGTTACAGAGGTGGTTAGGAAGAACAGCTGTGTTATTTTTGAAATATGTTCTTTCAAAAAACAGGATCTCTTACATTTTTTGTAGTGTGCCACACAAGAACAATCCAGCAAAGGCTAGTAGTTGTTCTGTTTCCCTCAAAGATGTTGTCTTCTGATTTAGAGGTGCTCTCATAACACTTTTGAGGTTATAAGAGCCATCACCCTTTGATATCTTCACAGGCTGTAGTCAGACTTCACTTTTAGTGCTGGAAGGAGTGCAACAGTGCAAACAGACTTGAACTGAGCAGGAGTAAAAGCCTAGTTTGTTCTGTGTTTGCGTGTGTGCCTATGAGTGTTCAAAAATGTGTCTTGTAAGGGAATTTGTGATCTCCAGTCTCTTGGTGAGCTTTCAAAGCTGCATAGCTTCATATTGTCTATCCATTGCTAATGCGTATGATTTAAAGAGAAGAGGATAGCAAGGTTTAAATTGCTTTTCAGCATCTAGATTGGACTAATTCTGAATCCTGAGAAAGGATCTAAAGTTTTGAACATGAAAGCAGAGGAGAGAGGAGTGTAGAGCACTGCTAAAATAGTGTCAGGCAGTGAAGAAATAAAAAAGCTTGCAGCTAATTCCCTGCCCCCTCTCCTCACCCCAGCGGTTCACTGTCATGGCATGGAAGAGAGAAGGCTTTATAGGAATATGAATTCTGGGAACTTATTTCTGGCAAGTCTTCAATTCCAGTATTTATTAAAAAAATTTTGTTTCATTTGCAGGTATAGCAGATACAGTTTCATTAGTATTTGTTTGACACTTCCTGGCCAAAGACCACGATTATCATTTGGATAACAGTTTGGCACACACTGTATGTGAAGATTTTCTTCGAAGGAGCATTTTCAAAAATAAGAAAAAACTGTAAGGGCAATTCCTGCTTTTCAGCAGTACAGGAATGGGTTGGCTGGAGTTTTTAAAAATTCCACTATTTGGAATGTGTGTTGCACATCAAATCCCTCACGGAATAAGAAGACTCGGAATTGACTGCAGAGTACACAAAAAGAAGTTACAAAGACGGACTGAAACTGTGAGTGGGAATTGTATCCAGGTGTTGAATACTACTCCATAAAACAGTCTTACAAGGAAAGAAGTGATGACAAATGATAAGGAATCTGGTTCAAATAATGAATAGTATGACAGAATATAATCAAAAAAGACTTTGAATCATGAAGAACCATGATTAGGTCTGCTTTTATGGGATGGGGAGGAAGGGCAGTTGGAAGAAAATATTCTCTGTTATGCTTTGATAGATGTCTTGGCTTTTCTAGTACCTCTGACAGACACTAACATTTTGTCTTCCTCCTTTTTATGAAATCTTACCTTTCCTCTGCAGCTAGAATACTAGAAGAGGGAAACGGAGACTTAAAGTTGTTTCCTGAGCGCCCATGGTCTCTGAAGTGCTGCAATCCTTCACTTTCAGTCTTCAGACTGTTATTGGCTAAATATGACTTTAGAGATTTTCAGAGCAGGGAGTGTGTTTTGGAAAGTGCCTGGAATATCAGTCTTCTGGATTAATTTGTTAGATGGATAGAAAATTAAGAAGTAACTGTATTTAGGCAAACAGAGGCAGTTCTAGTGGTTTAACATCCTGTGTCCTGGCAGGATGTATGTGTTTGCAAATCAACATTTCCGTGCTTTGAGAGCTGTGTCAGTTCCAGGCCTTCTCTCTTCTCTACTTCACGTCTAACAGTGAAGCCAGTTGCAAAACAGAAATTAAAAAAGGTTCTTATTATAGAAAAAATTGTGAGGGTGAGGTTTGTTTGAGTATTTATTTGCCACCTTTAGAAAGTCAGCAATTACAGAATACCCCAAATAGAGTGGATGTTAAATTTCCCTATATTAACTGAAATCATAGGTGGGACTTGCTGGGAATCAAAAAGTGATTCCAGCCCTGCTGACCTGTAAAACTGCACTTGCAGGAAAATGTAACTGGAATTCACAACCCAACAACATGTAATTCTGAAATGCTCCGAACCTTTCATCTGGAATGCTTTACCTGTATCTTTTATGAAGCACTACTATGAAAAGTATTGAAGCAATTTTGTAATTTTTGCATCCAACTTACTGAACCATGTTAACAGATCGGCATATTGTAACTTTTTTATGACAAATGCAATGAGTGTTCATAAATGTCTGTTGTAAGTATTGTCATTTTAGTCTTTCTACTTCTAAGCGTTAATATTTTAAATGAAAGGAAGACCAAGTGCAATGTTCCACTACTTCAGGTTCTGCTCCTTACTGAATTTACTGGCTGAAAACTTGAGATTAACAAAAGGGAAAGTCTTCTGTAGTCTTACAATCTTCTGTAGTACAGCCTTCCCTTAGCAGTTCACAAACAGCAGATAGCACACTTCCATAACTGGAAAACAACAGCCAGAGTGCCCAACTGGCATTGCTAAGAGTAGTGTTGTGACAATAGCATCAAACACAGGTGTTCCACCAGTGTTTTTGAGGTGGTACTACCAGCCATAAGTACTAAAGTGCTGAGATACAGAGCAACTCACCAGAAATTAAGGCCTATAGTCTATTTCCAAGGAGAGTGTTTAAAAAGATGGGAGTCCATCTAAGGAGAAGACAGCACAGCTTTATGAATATTCTACAGCCAATTTTGCCTCACTTTTATTATATATCAATTTTATCCTTATTTCAGTGATACTTTAAATAAAAAACACTTTAAATGCCTGTCATACTTTTGTTTGAACTTTACGCTTGCTTTAGAAGAAGACTTAACAAAAGATGAGCTTTAATACTGCTTTATTTGAAGGGCAAAGTAAGTACTTACATCTGCTATTAACAGTATTTCTATAGAAGGGATTTACATTCACATGTAACACATAGATAGCAACATGGTTCTTGATGTTCAAGGCGCTTGGGTGTCTGTAGATTGAGGATTTATTTATTTTAAATTTAGCTTTTGAAACTCTTAACCCAAAATTCCTTTTGAAATTCCACTAGAGCTCAGAAATTAATATTCTTGTGAAGGTGATGAGACTAATTACATCCTCAACTGGAAGAAGAAAATTACTAACAGCCATTAGGCAAACAAACAAACACAAAAATATGTACAAATAAGATATGATCATGATAATTCTGTATAATTTGCTCTGTCTTCGTGTAAGTTTTAAGAAGCCAACTAAGAGTTAAATTGGTAATTGAGTTGAATCGGGGTATCATTTTAGTCTTAATAGAGGCTAACTTGATACAGATTATTTTTTCTACAAACAGTTAAGTTTCTTCCATAAACTGATCATACTATTCACAGAGCTGTCGTACATAAATACCTATTTACACACCCCCACTGCATGAGAATAGCTGTTGTATTTGAGGGATAGCACCACCTGAGGTGAAAGTCCTGAAGTTCTTTACAGCAACCAGTGCAGAAAGGCCGGCTAGTCAGAGTCCTCGCTGCTAAAATAGGAGCTGTCACAGTATTCTGCCGTGTAAAGGAATTTATGAATAGTTGGGTTCATCTTTGGTATCCAGTGTCTTGGCACTAGAAACGTGGAAAGATTGAACAAATCCACAAACACCTTGTATCTGTCACTGGAAGAGACAATTGGGATGATTAATACTGCGATAGTGGCATAGAAGTCCATAATTCCAACATCCTCAGTAATTGCTCCATCTCTTTTATTTATTAAGGTTTCTGCACTAGCCCTCCTCCTGAATACTCTAGAGTAAAATTCCAGTCCTAACTGTTTCTAGACCATAGCAGATTAGATTTAAAAAGGAACTATGGCTGCTACAGTCACATCTTTCTTCTGAAAACGCAGGGTATGTGGGCTATAATCTCCAGACCTGCACTGTTGTGGTAGGTAGGAAGTAGAATTTCTGTAGGAAGACTGTTTACCTGAAATTAAGGAACAGTGAGAAGGCTTACTGAGAAAGTGAACCTTTCATCTTCAAATTCAATTTAACATTCTGCTTTCTGTTGCACCCTCTGTGATGATGGTTGTGATGGGAATCGTTGCCCACAGTCACCAGCTACGTATGGTTTCTCTTTGAAAACAAAACCTCAAAGAAGGTCTTCTTAGAACAAGGTGTTTTAAATATCTTTGTGGTTTTTGACATAACGCTGTTGAGGACTGTCAGGACATAGTTGCAACTAAAAAGTTTGAATTGTCTAACTAGCCAAATCCTCAAATTTTGTGCAAAAAAAAGTTCTAGCAATTCAGAGAGTTCTCTGGTCAGGCCTCAGTCATCCCTTTTAAGTTTCTCTTCTGCTTCATCCAACAGAAGGAAACGTTTCTGATTGTTGCCTGCACAGCTTGAGAGTATTAATTATCAGCTTTAAGAATACATTCAGTTCTAAATTGAAGTACCTTAGGTTGTACGATTAGAGGTCATGCTAAGGAATAAAGAAACTGTCATCAGTTGCACAGTACTCACTGGACTGACTTCCAGCCTGTATCACCTCATTAACTTCAGCTGCCTTGCAGACAAACTGAACAATGCAGGATTAATAGTAATTATTGCTATTACAGTAATGCCTAGATCCCTTGACTGAGAATTATAAATGGCACTTTGCATGAGTGATCAGAAGGAGTTCTTTTTTGCCCCAAAAAGCTTGGAATTTATAAACGTCAACCTGAGTAAGTGTACAACGACCAGGAGGAAATGCTAGAGTCCCAAAAGAGAAACAGCAGCCCTCTGGCCTCCAGTGAGCCACCTGAAATCTGTCTCCTGGCATTGGAGTCTCTACGAACTGCATTATTGCAGGTAATGGGGGAAACGCGTTATTCTTACCTCACCGTGGAGCGCAAATACTGGTAGCCTGATGAGCCTCCAGTGCCAGCCTTGCTGCCAATCATCCTGTGCACCATGCAAACGTGGTTATCTAAGTCATACAAAAGAAGGACGCGGCACACGTTCAGTGTTAACATATAACCAAAGGGTCACATCAAGGTGCGTTGCTGAAATATTAAAGACCATAAAGAGATCTTTACAGAGATACAGAACTACTAGGGCTTCAGCAATGCAGGACTTAATTACGCCATGCCTCAGCTAATATAAAATTATTGTTAATACAGAATGAAGCACTAATTATTATACATTATTATGCTCTGTTAATACAGAATTAATAGATCCATTTATGGATGTCTGGACAGGGAAGGAGCAGAAGCAATGTTTGCATGTGAAGAGTTGTCGTGATGATGTTTTGGCAGACATTGGAAAATACATACCTGACCCTTAAAACAAATTGTTCAGCTAACTTAAAGCACATCATAGAAGTGGTAGCTACACCTATGTATCTAATAGTCACAGAAGCAGCTGTTCATCTTTCCTCTTGACTGAAGTACAAACAACAAAAAGTCATTCCTAAAGGACTCAGAAGCTCAATTCTAAAACTCTGGGTATGACTTTTCTAAAAAAGCGTAAAACAGAACAGTGTACTTGCATCTAAAAGAGGGAGTGTTACCGTCAGAAAGTGCAACTTACATCTCCATTTGGTCATGAGCACATCGATATCCATAAGGGAGGTCAGAAGCTGAAAGGGAACCTGAAAGCGAGGCTCCTCCCTTGGAAAATGAAAGAGGAGACAGTGAGACCTCTTACGATATGCTGTATTTTTCAAAGTATCGCTTCCCCAATGCATAACAGTCACTTAATGTCTGTTTTTTCCTAAATTAGTATTGAAATATCAGTAGATATTCTAACAAATGCTTCTGCCATGTAAGTCCCGATCTATGCCTTTTCACTCACACTTGGAAAAATACTCTAAATCTTTCTAGGACACTGTGCAGCACAGTTTGAACAAGGCATTTGCTAGTTTCAACCTGAGGAGCAGCGTCTGGTCAGACATAAACCAGCTGCCCGGAGAGGCTGAGTAACCTCCACCCTTGAAGATATTCACAACTCAGCTGGACACAGCCCCGAGCAGCCTGATCTGACCTTCAAGTTGAATCTAACTAATCTGGGTTTTCATGGAGGGTTGGACTAGATTACTTTCCAAGGCCCATTCCAACCTAAATAAATCTGTGCGGCTGTCCTTAACCTTCACCTCTCCTGCTGCCAGTAAGCATTAAAGATATATCTTCTAACATACCTATAGAAATAGATCATTAAGGCACCCTTCAGTGCTTTATAAGACAGTCGTCTTTCTCCTGCAAAATACAAGAGTCCTTAGTTTGTTACTGATTCTTCTGCAAATGTAATGCTATTTTGTGATTGTAGGTATCATATACATAAAATAAAAGGTGCATATTGATATATATTAATACAATCTACCTTTACTAAGCAGGTGTTCGTGGCGCTTTTCATCAAATAACGAAAGTAACACATCTTTCTGTTTTTGGAGTTCAGATAATAAGTCATCTTTTTCTTCTGATTCTGGTTTGGCCTTTGATATTTAAAACAAAAACAGATTTTAGAATTCAATAAGGAAAATTAAGTGCTTGAATGACCCAGGATGTAACTTCTGTTTTCATCATAAATACTCTGCAAGTTTACATCTTAAAATGTAAGAACTGTATTTTCAAACAAGATAGATGAGTCACTGTCCTTTCAAAAACACAATTACCACAAAATGTACAATTAAATAGCTGTTAACACAATTCAGATGAATGAATGTTCAAACAAACTGGCAGCCTATAACTTTTCTTTTGGTCTAGAGGCCTTAAAAAGATTTAATCATTTGTTTGAAGTCTGATTTTTTTTTTTTTCCAAGGCAAAAAGAAGTCATCCTTACATAGCTATGGGTAAGAAAATTTTAAATAAAAAAGTTTACATAAGTTAGAAAGTTGTAAACAGATATTGTCAGGAAATTGATTAATTCTTACATTATGGTGCTTTTCCCATTAAAATGTACTTAAAGCTACAGGTCTTACAATATTTAGGGATTTTATTGTGCTTATTTGCCAGAGTAATTCAAATGATCGCATAGCAGCAAATTCCCACTTACTGTTAAATAGAAATGGGCTGTTTATACTGATGCTCCATACTTACAGCTCAGGAGCCCAATCTTTGTGTTTACTCTGAAGCCTAGATGCAAGTAATAACTGAAGGTGAGGTGGTACTTTCAGTAAAATCAATTTCAGCCCTTCCATTGATACTATCAAAGTCATCCATGTATCACATGCTTTAAACCATCTTAGATGTCAAATTACAAACTTATTCAGATTTCCTGAAAAATTTCCAATTTTTTTCTGCTTCTTACAGGCTGCTGAAGATTAAGTGAGTGAGACACTGTGAGCGGGCCAAAAGTCAAATTTGTGTCAGGATGTCATTTTGCCAGCTGTCTTTGCTTATAGCTAGATCAAGAGTACACTATATACCTGCACCAAGGCAAATTCCTCTTCTAGACCTTTTAAAACATTCACTTCAAATTGTCCCCAGAAATCAAAGCCTTCTGCGTCGAGTCCCGGAGTTCTTTCCAGCCATGCCTTTAACAATAATCATCATCATCATGTGTTAGAACATTAACAATGCAAGCGCATTACCCTAGAATTACAAGTTATAGCAACATAAATTCTACCGCTACAGTTGTTCTCATTTAATATCCCATAGAGGTGCTTATTGCTGGCATAAGCATGTCCACATAAAAGATTTATACCTGCGTAATGGTGCCATGCAAACACACCCACAGGTTCCAGGTTAAGTGACCAGTGTTGGAAGACAAAAGCTCTTTTTCTAAGACTATCTTTAAAACCAGCTCCCTTGTAGATACAGGAAAACAATCTTATTCTACATATATAGGATAATTGTAAAGATAAATCTCAGAAGAAAGATATAGAACCATCTATACAGCCAGTTTTTATCATGTCAGGTAGGCTGAATACTGATCAAACAGTCTGTCATTAACTTACACCACAATATGTGATGATACAAGACACGAATTTACTTGGCAGTTAGTAAAGCTTTCCCTTTGATTTCCTTTTCATAATGGGAGTGAAATTAGGAGGGGAAAAAAATAGGAATCTTTATGGTCAAAGTCCCTTGAGAGATCACTTAATTTAGCTCCTTCTCATCTGAAAGATACAAGAACATGAAGTCTTAACGAATGAAGAAAAGTTAGAGAAATTTCTTCTATATTCTGTATCAGGTGTCATTAGACAAATGGATAGGGCTAATAAGAGGCGATGCTTTTACTGAGGTTTATACTACATTATTCTTTAGAAAATTACATTAATTTTCTGCATGAAAATGACAAGGGAGTTAGAGTCATTCATAACCCAAAGTCATTAAATCAAGGTAAGTGATAATGAAACATTTGTTAAACATCTTTTCGCCTTTCCATTTTGGGTTGTCATTTTTTTCTTTTTTTTTTTAACCTCTAGTAGATACCACTAACAGTGGAAATATTTTTAAAGTTTTCTTCTTAAAAGGGTTTATGGTCATGAAAAACAATGCGAATGAAACAGTGCATTTATAGTCCTAGCTCATACTTCCACAATGCAATTTATTAGTTTAACAGACTACTTTGGACAAAAGGAAATGCTGTCAAAAAATCAGTTGGTTTTCTAATGACTAACTCTTTTTCATACAAAATTTGGTAAGAATCCAAAACACAACTGACTGGGAAATTGCCAACATGCTTGCTTCTCTCAAGGAAGAAGAATTTGTCACTGACACCAGTGAAGGGCATTCTTGGGAGACGGGGGGAAACGACGCAAGGTCTAAGAGAGACGTTACCACCTCCACAAGTTGCAGCAGTGTTGGTTCTTGCTCTGATTTAAGCAGTATCTCGTAGTCCTGTCCCTTAAAGTTATCACGATAATGCCTTCTGTTATAGGGGACTCTCAGGCTTTGGGGAACACCAATTTTGTTCTCTAGCAAGCGAAACTGCAGGCTCTGGAAACCTGAGGCTGGGCTTAGGTAGTATCTTTGGGAACAGAAGAAAAGAAGACACAACAATACGGGATATTATTTTACAATGATGGGGTTCTCTGGTTCTCCACAAAATAAAAAATACATATTTCACATTTGAAGAATATCAAATAGATATCTGAGCATTTTTTATATGATTGCAATTAAGAAAATAAAAAACCCCAAGTTATTTTAATGAAACTACAATGCATGTATAAGATATTCTAATTTTCTAGCTATATATTGTATACACAGATATATATACACACACTTATGTTTTTACTGTTTTAAAGTGGCAGCTTTGCATGTGTGATGCACAGTAGGAAACGTTAGTAAGCATCATTGCCTTTCCAGACAGAACAAGCGGCTTCACCCAATATAGCTATTACAAAAATATCCACCTCATCAAAGTGCCAATGAATGCCTTTTAAATAGGGTTGCTATACAGAATAATTGCTATGTAGACAATAGAATAATGTTCAGAAAAACATTTAGTTGGTTTTGTTTGAGGGTTTCATTAATAGGATCCTTTCAGAGTTAAATCATGTGCCCATGCGGAAAAAAATTATTAATAAATAAATCTGAAATCCCACATTGCTAGATAAGTGTAGTGCACTTTGAATTGTAAATACAAGATTTGGCAAAAACAGATCATTGATTTGATCTTGTTTGCTTATCCAGTGATAGCACGTTGTTGAAAAGCAGAAGCAAGGATCCATCAAAACAGATGATCAGCCCATGGATTTCCCCTGCTGTAGTGTAATGTTAGAGGATACATATGTTTCCAACTTCCAAGAGAAGGAAAATTGTAGTTTCATGTGCTTTTTCTTAGGGAATATTAAAAGACGGAAAGGAAAGGGTACTAAAACAACGCAGAAGTGAGCGGGAGGCTGGACTGCACTGAGGTAACGAGTCAGACGGGTCAGGGACAGAAGCAAGACAAGAGCAGGAAGGCAGACAGCGGGTGAAGCTGTCATGCATCATAGCGTAGTGGAAGGACCCAGCTGAAGTGAGGGAATAGATAGACATGCCATGGGAAAAGTGAGGCAAGCCCAGGGACGCCACAGAAAGCCTGGGCAGAAGAACTACCAACCATTGGCCTAGCAAAACATTGGGCAGCTACTGGAGAGCAGAAGTTATCAGGGAGAAAGAAGAAGAGACAGCAATGCTTCCTTCAGCCATTCGGAGCCTCCAGCACTGCAGACCCACTGAAAACATGAAGCAAGGAAACACTTTGCAAACCAAGACGGCCGAAATACCTATTTGATAATCTACAGAGAGTGCATTTCTCTCACCCAAGCACTTCTACGATTTGCCGTAGAATACAGCTGTGGCTATGCAGTGGTAAGTTTCAAGTAAATTGTTAACAGAAGCATGAGCTATTTCTGTTGTTTCTATTGGTTTTTTACTCTGAAACCATTCAGCAGCACCGCACATAAATATCAACAACTAACTTGCACTTCTTTGCAGAGCATGCTGGACTCACACTCAAGCTCAACTTCTTAATTGGCCCTTGCACTCCAGCATCATGGTTGCTTCTCTAAGGTATGCCCTCACCTTGCTGAATGATGCGTGCACTACAAGTGCCAGGGCACGTGCAAGATTCACAGTCGGTTCAAAGGATGGGAATTACCAGCTCGTGGATTACTGTGGAGGAATACTAAGTATTTACCTGAAATCAAAGAAATCCAATGCAGTCATAGTTTCCAAAACTGAGAACTGTTCCACAAGTAATTTCAGAATCATTGAAATTCTGTTCATTCGAGTAATAACCTTCAGCATGTTCCTCTCATCTCTTACCTGTAGAAAAAATAAAGATCATAACCAGACAGAGTGGTGTTCTCTTTATATTCTACCTATTTATTTCAGGTCTTTTCACTCTTGTACATCATTATAGTTCCCAAGTGCTTTCCACATGAAATCTATACCAGCAGAATCTCATATTGAGTAGAGAGCCATGTTTTTAACTGAAAACTGAAACTGTAATTTTCAAAGATTGAAATCTGGTTTTCTCTGACTGATTATACAACCAGGCCAAATATATAGGGGTTTTTTTCTTTTCTACATTTTTGACTGAAATAGAAGTTGCCACATGAAATTAAATTCTAGAACAAAATCATTGATATCATGGTAATTTCCAACAATTACAATGCTATTTTAATGATATGTGATCTAATATGGTAATTATATTATGCTTTCTATTCTAATCACTTCTATAATATTTTCTACTATTATAGTATCATAGAATCATTTCGGTTGGAAAAGACCTTTAACATCATTAAGTCCAACCGCTAACCTAGCACTGCCAAGTCCACCACTAAACCATGTCCCTAAGCACCACATTGTGAAGGAACAAGTCATAAGGCAGGTACGGAAAGTACTTAAAAGCTGAGAAGCAGAATAATCTGAGGCGTATGTGGGGAGAGCACATCTAAAAAGATGTTCATCAGAGATGGGTCTTAGCAAGCAGAGGAAAACAGAGAACACTGCATCCGGTGGGAAGTAGGAAATATTAAATAGCAAACACAGAAGCTTCCTTCTGGCTAAGTTGAACACTTGGCCTGCAGAGGATTCTGCTAAAATTCCTATTAGCTCCAACGGGATCAAATTTCTCTCTAAAACCAGGGCACATGCAACCAGGAAATATCAAATTACAAAAAATGAAAGATGATAAGCATTTCCTTCATCATCTTGCTGTCTACTTCACCTTAAGACTGACATTTCAAATTCTGATTACAAGCAAAGTTTCATTTTTCACAAAAATAAATAATGAAAAATTATTCTATTTAAGAACTGATTTTGATCGATCATAATTTGATACAACGTTCAACTAAAAAGCCAACAAAATTATGAACATGGAGGACAACAAAGAACATTTTCACTGGACATTATGATAAAAGGGTTCCTTCTTTCAGTCTGATCTAGTTTCAAATTTTCTTCACATACACATACTCATAACGTTACTCAAGGTATTTCTCAAATTACACGCAGTCAGCCTTTTTTTGTGGATGTAGTATCAGGTCAGGAGTTTTCCTTTGTTACCTGTTGCTATGAGGCGTGTTTAGCTTTGGGCAAACATTTAGAGATGTTCAAAATATTCCCATTATATTTGTAATTTTCAGAAATTATACAATTGTACACTGTGCTTTTGATTATTGCTTATAATAATATATATTA